GGGGCTCAAACTCCTGGGGACAAATACTAGAAGGAAATAAGAGTCCCTGTGTTCACGACTTAAAAATTATTAGTTAAAATTTTTTTTGGTTTTTTGGGGGGGATAAGGAGGAAGGGGAGGTAATTAGGTTTACTTATTTTTATTTATTTATGTATTTATTTTAATGGGGATTGAACCCAGGACCTCGTGCATGCTAAGCATGCACTGTACCACTAAGTATACCCTCCCTCATGAATCCATATTGCTACATAATATAGGCTTCTTGAGGAACAAAAACAAAAACAAAAAAATCAAAGAATTCTGTTATTCATATAAACACTGAATGTTTTTTCTTTTGATATTTTCTCCCTGAAGCATTTTTGAAAAATCAGAATCTTGCCGTTTTTCTTACTGCATTTCATAGCCTTTTTTTTATTTAAATACTGAAAGTTTTTTATATATTCACTTGTTAAATTCATTATGCTGTTCTTTGATTCAACAAATGTTTATTGAATTTTCTTGTATTCCAGATGCTGTGCAAGATATTGATTACAAAAAATATAAGACATATAAGAAATCTACATTCTAGTGAGGAATAATGACAAACACATAAGGAGACAATTAAAATGTAGTAGGATGAGAAACATGCTAGAAAAGGGGCTATGGTTGTGCTAGGAACTGTTAAATAACAGTTTGGTCCTGACTGTATAAAATCCATGATCTGCATGATTTGAAAGTCAATTTCAGAGTTTATAGTAGCGTTGAGTCATTTTTACACTTAAAAATTTTATAGTAAAAATTAATAGAATATATACTGTGTCCAGTTTTAAATAAATGTGAACTCATGTAAATTTTAAAAATCTGATTCCTTTCCTGAAATGAACCACTAATAAAATGATATACATCTGTACAAAAAAAAAAAAAAAAAGGGAAGCCCTCATGGAGAAAAAAGCAGGCCATGGCCAAGTAAGTGGGAAGTGAAATGGGAAGCAGGGAGGTGCAGAATTCCAGGCAGGAAAACTGAAGGGGAGAGGGCAGCAGAGAGAACACAAAAGCTTGGCAGCCTCAAGAAATCACTTGCTCATCTCTCTGATGCTCCAGATAACTGAGACAGTGAGATTCAACAGTTTTGCTACAAACAGCAGACTTGGGGCAGGGGCTTAGCTTGCCAGGTTTCCAATGCAAAACTGTTTCCACTGTTCTTGTATCTGCACAGAGAACCTGTTGTTGAGCCTGACAATGATAAGTTACATTCACCTGTCAAAATACCCTGCAGATGTGCTTTAGTTTTTAATTATAACCACACTTGACCAACTAAAATGAACCTAACATCAGTTACCATCAGAATCAGTGCTATCACAAAGGAAAATAATATATGGCCTAAAAATCAAGTTGGTTATATTCAAAATAGACTAGGTACCAGTTAAATTTATGGCCAAACTGGTACATTTATTGAATATCCTGTCTCCATAGACAAAGAAAACTAAAAAATTGAGTAGTTTTGTTCTTGTCACTGAAACTCTAAAACCTATTTTACTATTTATATGAAACTTTTTTTAATGCATGAAAATATAATTTATCCAGGTATTATTTTAGAGAAAATTCACAAATTTTCTCTATACCAAATGGTTGTAATTTTAAAGTAAAATTTTTAATTAGAAACTATTTGCTATAGTGTCATTTGTTATAATGATGCTAAATATTTTTGCTCATTTAATTACTAGTAGTTAACATTTATGCTGAAGCTTTATTCTCGTTTATTATTTTTCATTGAAGTGTTTATTTTCTTAGCAAAATGTTTTACCAAACATTATTATTATCTATTACTATGAATTTGTTTTGTTCTTCACACTAATAATAAAATACAAAAGGAGAATCTCTTCCCTTCTGAGGAAAATCTAATGCTTCTAACAGAAACACATTTGGTTCAGTTTATATAGCATATAGCTTTTAGCACCTGTCTGGCTTCTTTGAAGTTTAAGTCATACAGTTCATATTGTATTATTTGAATTTTTCACAAACTATTTTCTCTTATCTGGATACAAAAGGGAAATTGGGTAAAATTGATACTATATCGTCTTTTCCTTTGTGCAGATAACCTGGCCTGGGTAGTGTTATTTGGTATCATAGGGCTCCATCTAGTGGCTCCAAGAGGGAATTTATTTGTTAAATTTCTAGAATTGATTAAAAAGTAGAACTTTGAAACTGTTCAAATTGGGTAAGTACAGTAAAATTGATGTGAACTAACATAAAGATTACTTTCCCATAATAATATTTCCAGATATTAAAGTTCTGTAAGTATTTTAGGGAATTAAATTACATCAAATATTAAAAACTTAGGAATTAGGAAACTGTCATGATTTTTAAGAAATCTAGTTTTTGTACCCATTATGCATTAAATATTCACCCTCGTCCATTATTAGACAAGTAAGTTCTGTTTAGGGCAGTTTTACAAAATGACCTTTATATTTTAAATGGAAACTATAACCAAGTACAGTAATTAAAAATGAAAATGTTCCAGAAAAAACCTTGCTCTCGTGTTTCAGCAGTCAGTTAACTCTTATAGGTCAACTTACTCATTTATGACCTAGAGTTGACGATCCCCAAGGCCTTTTAATGAATTCATCATGACTGTCTTTTATCCATGTTCAAGTCGTACAGACTGAACCCCACCTGTGGTTCATATCCCTAACCGCTGAATGGACTTTATCTGAAAATACTCTTTTTCACATATATTTATGAAACTTCTGATAAAGACAGCACTGATTAAATTTGATTCAAATTATGTTGCTCTTTTCCCCTTCTATTACTAAAGAACATTTTAAAATAAAAGTTCTAATTAACTTTTCTACCAAATTATATTTTAAGTCTGGTTATGAAGCATCTTTTTTACTTTGTGTTTTCCTTATCTAATCTCTCATTTAGCATACATTGAATGTATGGGATGAACTCAACAAATGCAGCTCATTTTTAACTTGTTGTCTTAAAATTTTTCAAATCCAAAGGAAAACTGAAGGAGGAGTCAAAATTTACACCTGTATACCATTTACCTTGGCTCACCAACTGTTAATTAATATTGTACCACATTTCTTCTGTCTCTCCTGTCTGTCTTTCTAGTTTTTGTTAAAAATGGATTCCTTTGTGGGAAACCCTGGATTTTATTTATTTGTATCCAGTATAGTTTTTAAGTATCTGTAGTGGTTTTGTGAAAAACAACAACAGAAAAATTTAGTTACTTGTCTTTTTGTAAATGAAAACTACTTTAGTATAATAACTTTTTAAAAACTTTTATTTTTAAATTCAGTTTGTATCTCATTTTCTTTCTAAATCAAGTTTAACAAAAGCAGTCATCTTTGCTTTTTAAAAATCGTTGGTTAACTCAAGGTAAAATTAAACTTCCTTACAAAGTGTCCTCTTTACAACTCAGTTGATTACTTTCTCAGATTTTAAAACATACAAATATATTTAATCTATCCAAGTTTTTAGAAATTTTAAAGGCCTTATTTAGAGAAAACCCTTCATAGATATTGAAACAATCTTTATATCAAAATAGTAAGATTTATAAATAGGACACCCACGTACTATTACATTCTGTTTAGATACTTGGTCAAATTTGATACCTGTAACTTTAATTCTAATTTAAAATTTGAGTATGCAATTAAATTTATTAAATTGGAAATACAATTAATTTGAATTATCTGAAACTTAAAAGCATTTTAAATACCATGTGGACACATATGTACATGTTCCAAATCTAACAGAAAAGCATTGATACTCTGCTTTTAGTATACTTAACATCTCTATATTTTAAAACCTGACCAGCGTTACATGGCACTCCCTGAGAAAATAATTTTACCGCCCTGAATTGAGGTTGCTATTTCCAGTGATCTATTGCTATCATCTGCTTCTTGGCCAGAGATTTTTACCTAGGACTGGATCCGAGCTGCATATGCCCAGGACAACCCTTGTAGCCTCACTGATGGGCACACCAGTTACCTTTGTTGTCACCTTTTGATGAAAGAGGACTCCAAGTCCCTGTGCTTGAGAGGTTTTGGTCTCTCTGGAGAGCCAGTTATATCTTTATGTTACTTCTCTATTTAAATGTTTTTTTTTCCCCTCTTCTCATGAGCTATTTTAATGTCTTTCTTTGTGGCTGGCTCCAAAGACATGTCATTTCCTGAGACCCTGCCTACAATTGTGTACTCCTTGTTCTCACTTTAAGTCTGTGACCTTCACCACAGGTTGCAGCTAACTTCATTCATTCTGTTGACTACCTGATTAAATTATGGACTTTCTATTATTTCTAAATAAACCATAGATTAACAACTTAAATGTCAACTAATTGGATTATATACAGCTTTGTCAGATTTTGTGGTTCCTACACTAAAATCATGTTAATGGAATCAATTTCTTACTACAAGAAGGATTTGGGTTAGCTAACTCACATGTAATACTGATACTAATTCTGATTCTGATACTAATACTAACATCCTGATGATATGAAAGGTAAAAGAAGTTTATTAAAATACCATAAAGCCAGGTTACTTATCAAATACTCAATAGGTCTTATATGCCAACTACTCTTCTTAATGTTTTACTCTTAACAACACTTTGGGGTGCTCTTCTTATTTGTAAGTGAGGAAATGGGCACAGAGAGGTTAAGCAACTTGCCCAAGTTCATACATCTAGTATGTGGCAAAGGCAGACATCAAACCCTCGCTGTTTGTACCATCCATGCTGTTAACAATAAGTATCAATTCCATAAGGTCTTATATACAGAAAACCCATATATGTTTATTGCTCTGGTTTGATACATTGTTTTCAGATCCAGAAGGAAATACTGACTTTTTTTTATTGAAGTTTAGTTTGTTTACAGTGTTATGTCCATTTCTGGTGTACAGTATAGTGATTCAGTCTTATGTGTATATACATAAATTCCTTTTCATAGTCTTTTTCATTATAGGTTACGACAAGATGTTGAATAAAATACTGACTTATTTTTGACTGATGTGTTCATGCAGGTAGTGAGTTGTTTGCTGGACTCTACAGTGACTACTGGGGCAGAGACGCCGCCATCTTCAGGACCATGGGGCGGCTGGCGCACATCCGCACTGAGCATGACGACGAGCGCCTGTTGAAAGGTGGGACTGAGGAGAAAAGGGAGTTTTCTGCAGTTTGTAGCTTTTACATATTTCAGGGTTTTTTCCTTCATATTCCTGAATTAAAATACATGATATGTGCATATCATTTTATCTCAAAAGGGGTCAGCTTTTATTGTAAAACCAAAATGCCCTCACAGCAATACTTAGAAATCAGGATTCAAGTGAACAAAATAAAACAAAAAGGTGAAAAGTGAAAAACCGTTTCATCCAGTGAGTTGTTTTGTTTTCTCTTGTCAGTTGGTGTAATTGGGGCTGAATTGGTTGTTGTGCTTTGCTTGTTGTAGTAGGATCACATTGCACTTTAGAAACAGGTGAACTCTAGGAAAATCACTATACATTCATTTGCATAGAATCCTTTGTGAGGAATCTTGGTTATATTGGGCACATTGGTATACCTAAGGACTAAAACATCATTTTATGGTGAGTGTTTTCATTATTTTCAGCCTTTTTTTTAAGCTTTAGAGTACACAGTCGTTATTGACAGCATGTTATCATTAAAGTATTTGACATTCTTTATCAATCAAAGGTCATTCAGTCAGATCATTTAGGTTACAAATACAAAAACTTACAATTAAGATGGTCTCCCATGAGTTGGACGGGTAGGTAATTTATGAATTAAAAAATAGTACTCACTTCAACAGCACATACACTAAAATTGGAACAACACAGAGAAGATCAGCATGTTCCCTGCACAAGGATGACATGCAAATTCGTGAAGCGTTCCACATTTTTTATACCTAATAACCTATAATGAAAGAGAGTATAAAGAGGACTATATGTGTGCACACATACGACTGCAATGTTATGCTGTACGTCAGACATTGACACAACGTTGTAAACTGACTGTATTTCAATTTAAAAAAAGACTTCTTTACTAAAATATTTTACATGTTTATATTGACTTTATATGATGTACATATGTATGTGTGTGGGAGGACGTTTATGGGGGTTATCATGATGGTGTTCCTGATCTATTCTTTGAATTTATTTAAAGCTATAATGTATGATTTTTGAAATTGTCTTTTTTCCCTCCCTGATTCAGTTACATTTTAGATCCTCTATTGTTTTTTTAAAATTGTTGATTTGCAAAGAACATGAAGATACCTACATGATTTTAATGTTTAGTACAAAATTCCAAGGAAAATATAATAATTTATCATTTTGTTGTAATAGCTGTTTCATTTTCTTCTGTTTTTCACTCCTCTAGAGCCAAAATTTGTGGGTTGTTATATGATCCCTGACAATGAAGACCGAGATGACAACAAAGTGTATTTCTTTTTTACCGAGAAGGCCCTGGAGGCAGAAAACAATGCCCATACGATTTACAGCAGAGTGGGGAGACTCTGCGTGGTGAGGACTGTCTTTCTCTCTCCCTGAGCTTGATTGTCTCGCAGTTTGTAGTCAGGCCTTTGTTCATTTCATAGTAGGTTCCTACTTTAAAATAATCTTCTTGTATTCTGTAGACTGCCTAAAATTAGTATTTACTTTCTAGTCCTTAGATTTCATATCGAGTGGAAGTTTTATCTGAAAAGAGCTTTCCATTTTGTATGATCTTACCCATTTTCAAAGCCCTATGAAGAAGAAATGGTCTATCATCAGGCTGTACTTCCCACACAGAAGTTTGAGCTCCATTTTTAAAAAATTAATTTCACCAAAATCCTTTTAGTTTCTTTAATCCACATTCTAAGTACTTTACATAAGTATGTTTCAACAATTCAGATGATTGTTTCTATAGGAGAAAGCACCTGTAGTTTGTTGGGTATTCAGATAGGTTGTTTGGTAAAAATACGAAACAACTGAAGTAGCAATATACATTGAGAGAATGCTAGTAGTATTATAAATGTATAGTTAGTTTGATATTTAGGATACTTAAGAATAAGCTCAAGAAGAGGTTTATGCATATGTTTATGTGTGTATATATACACACACGTTTGTACTGTGTATGTGTGCAAATACATGTACCTGTTATGTGTAGTGTGCATACATGTGTGTATTTCAAGTCCTTTTTCTCTAAAAGAAGAAGAAATGGATGCTTCCATATTTCTGAGATAAGCAGATTATTTATCAATAAAATAGTAATAAAGTTTACTATACCCTAAAAGTTACTACTTTATTTAGGAGAGACTACTCTACTAACATTGTTTAATACCTAGAAACTGTATTTAATGGGCCAGAGTGAAAGTATACTGACTAGGTAGAATGTGCAAACCTGAAATAAATTTGGGGGGGAATTGCATCTATATTATTTGAGGGTTATGCTAAAATTTCCCCACTAAATTAAAGAACTGTAACTGTTAGCATTTGCATGTTTAATGATACAAAATCTGTTGCTGGTAGAAGTACTCTAGATACCCACTTACCTGCTTTTTGTTTTTTGTAGAATGACGTTGGAGGACAGAGAATCCTGGTGAATAAGTGGAGCACCTTCCTAAAAGCTAGACTGGTTTGCTCAGTACCAGGAATGAATGGAATTGATACCTATTTTGATGAATTAGGTAAATATTATTGGGAGAGTTGAATTTCACTCTTTGATATGCATGCTTTTTTGTATAATCCCCACTGTTTCTAGCACATACAGAAAGCTTGCTTTCTGCACTATTTGACTTCTGTCTAACCTAGAGCGAATTTCTGTTCTTTTCATCTTGGCCTGGTCCTGGAGTCGGGGCAGAGGAGTTGCAGGAACAAAAAGACCCCTCTCATTAGCTTAAAATCAGGGCCTCTTGTTCCTTCCATGAGGCCCAGCTCAGAGCCACCTTGGACAGCCAGATGTTTCACTCTGTTGTGATTTGGTCATGGTTGCTTGACTGTATATGGAAATTTAGAACCTAAAATCTATTATAGGTTCTGAACTATTTTGTGTCAATTTATTTCCTTCACATGCAGCGAGGGCTAAACATATTAAGTAATGAATGGTCTTTAATTTTTCAGAGGATGTTTTTCTGCTGCATACCAGAGATCATAAGAACCCAGTGATATTCGGCCTCTTTAACACTACCAGGTGAGAAATGTGTACGGATAGTAAAATTGGTATGAAAGGAAAGATGCCTCACGCCTTCACTGTGTATGTAATTGAGCATTCTTTTGCCCAATTTATTGTTCTCATTTTTCTATACTTTATCACCAGTGTCTTCGTTCTCCCAAGCTTGCAATTGTACCTTGATTTTTAAAGCCATGATCTCAGTCTATCTAGATCCTGCTTTGTTTTCATCTGAAGCTCCAGCATCCTCCTGTGCTCAGGATCCTAAGCCCTTCCCTCTCTGATTTATCACAGAATTTTTTTTTCTCAAGGAGTTTTTAAGATATTAGTTCCATGCTATAGAGTCTCAGATAATTCTTTGAATCGTTATATAGAACTTTCCAAGTCAGGCTTTCAAGGCTCTCTCTCAGCTATTACACACTTAGCTTTAGAAGTTTGTCCTCTAAGCCCCGTTGTGCTTGCTTGCTTTTGACAATACCTCGACGGATGCCCGATATCTCCTTTCCCCATCACTATGATTTTATTTATCCACTTCTCTTGCTTGAAATTACTTTTTCTTCCAACACTGATTTATATCACTTTTTCCAATACTTGTCAGTTGCTGTCTTCATGAAACACACCTTGATTTCTTAATCACAGAGCACTTGGCTCCCTCCTCAACTCTGGCCATCCTGCTCCTTTGTTGATTCTCAGAGAACATACCTTCCGTGTTTTATTTAAAGCAGTTTCTCAAGTCTAGTATTTCTCTGTTTTATGTTTTTGTACTTTGTATCCATTGAAGAGTGCTGGAAAAATGAATCAAGTATCATTGCATGTGTGTTGACACATGAATGAAAAAATAGTATTAGAATCTGTTTTGGTTGAAAGTTTATATATATAATTTCCTTTTTAAAAAAGTGTTTTAAGGTTCCTACTTTTTTTTTTTTAATGGAAGCGCTGGGAGTTGAACCCAGGACTTCATGCTTGCTAAGCATGTGCTCTACCACTGAGCTATACCTCCCCCCGCCCTGTAATTTCCTGAGTGTCTCTGTCCAGATAAGGCAGAGCGGAGATGAGATGACGAGAATGAGAAATAAAGAATATTCTTCAGTTCCCTTGACAAGGATTGAATGACATCACTTACTTTTCATTTGCATTGAATTGGCCTTAACTGTACAGAATCCTGTACAGCTTGTTTGCTTAGGATCTCTCCACAAATCTTTTGCTTAGTTTTGTAACACGTAATTTCTTATGCTCACTTTGAAAAAAAATTCAGAAAGCTCTTTGGACAAGCATTCTGCTATTGTAAGGAGACACTTTCTTCAACACAGAAACAGTTTTGCTATCAATTACTCCTTTGTGCAGGGAGAAGGGGTTAATGTAGATTGACAGCTATCACAGTCCATGGAAAATCCTCACTGTTTTTACACTTCATCTTCTCCCTTATGCCGGTGAAGAATTTATACATTGCTGATAATTCCACGGTTTTACATGATTAATACAAGCTATGGGATAATCAGTGTGGTTTTTCTGTGGGTTCATGCAGTCAGTTTATAAGCTGCTTTTGTGAATGATAGCATAACAGATCTGTCTGAGATTTCAAAGACAGGACATTATTTTCTTACGTGATTTCAATTTTGACTGTTCAATTTATATATAATCCTGAAAAAAGGCTCCCCAGCTGTTACCTGACGTAACAGTTGATATCCTATCACGGTGATCAAAGGTTTACTGCCACTTTAGTTGGAAGACTATCTCTGGTTTTCTCACTATTGCAGACATTTCCAATTGCTTCAAGGTGTGTTATAAAATGTGTGAATTGATGTCCTAAGCCAGTAACATAACTGCTGTTGTACAGGTGTGCCAGAATGTAGGAAATTTTATATTTATAAAGAACTTTGCATTTTACAAAGCACTTTCACGACTAATTTTTTTCTGCCTTTCTTGGGCAAGCCAGAAGGGTTCTTTTAAATTATTGAAGTATAGTTGATTTACAGTATTGTGTTAGTTTCAGGTGTACTGCAAAGTGATTCAGTTATATGTATGTCTATATTCTTTTTTTCTGTTCTTTTCCATTACATACAAACTAATTATTTTAATTCTCACAACGAGGAGGCTAGGGAAGTGTTTGAATTTATCCAGATTATCCCAAATTAAGAAATGTGGCCAGATCTTTAAAACAAATCACTCTAAAATGTCCTTTGCACAATCTTACTGTAAATGCCCCCAATACAACTTGCTGTTGTTAGTCAACTACTGTCTTTATCCTTGACAGGTAGAAATTTTTATCAAGGAAGTAATTTCAATTGCTACTAGTTCTGGAGGTAACGAATCCAAGTTTTTTTTATAATTTAAATCTTTTTCTCAAAATTAATCAGATGCAGCCCAGTCATCTTTCCACTGTAACAGTTTTCAGAGACATAGAGGAAGGAATACACAGCAAGCCTGTTAATGTGTGTATGACCCCAAGCTAATGAATGGAACAAAGCCCGAAGTTTTCTCTGGACTTTTAAGTTATTCTTCAAATCATATACACTAAAAATCTAATAAAATTTGAATAGAATTTATAGCAGTGTTAGCAATAGGGCGATTAGGAAAACACTGTCTATTCTGAAGAGAGGACAATATATAAGGAGATGAAAACCTCAAAATGAATAATTCACCTTGCGAATGGATCTTTTTAAATATTAAGGCCAAATCTTCTTTAATAAAAAATATTAAAATGCCGTGTAAGGTATAACATTAAAAAGCACAGTGACACAGCTGCTTTTGTGATTCTAACAATGTCATTTTCAATTTATTACAATAAATAGGCAAGAAAGTGGTAAGTTTTGGAGTTTCAGTACTTGAAATATTACAACAGTTAATATTTCTAGAGATTGAAGCTCTTATACCCAGATGATTTCATCCTTACCTACATAGTCTGGAGGGTTTGACTTAGCTGACCCCCTAGTCTGTTCCAGAATAGTAATTATCTTTTTTTTTCTTTGTGTGTTTCAGTAACATATTTAGAGGGCATGCTATATGTGTTTATCACATGTCTAGCATCCGGGCAGCCTTTAATGGACCATATGCACATAAAGAAGGACCTGAATACCACTGGTCACTATATGAAGGAAAAGTCCCTTATCCAAGGCCTGGTTCTGTAAGTTTAGGCATTTAACAAAGTATACTTATTTTTTTTAAAGGCTCTTTCAGTCATGTTTTGTTCATTGTTCCAGATGCTTTACAAAATTTGCCTGAAACACTTAAGAAGTTCTGCACCTAAAAATATGCTTGGGTACTTGCATGGTAAAGAAATATTGCTTCTTACATCGCTATGTATGCTTGTTACTTAATGAAGAGAATATAATCTAAGATGGGTAAATCTTCACATTATAGTTCTTGTTGATATTTTGGCTGGCTGTGTAGTTCTAACTAAAGTTTTATCTTGAAGGGGACTGGTGAATACAGAAACATCCAGTAAAATGAGCATCGTATTCCTGCTGCCCTCTTCAGAAGAGTCAGTACCACATGTGGTTTCCAAGCAAGGAAGTGTTACTGAATTTTTATATTCTAGTTTTTGAGTCAGCCTTTGCATTCCCTAGGCCAGACTTTCTCCCTGCTTCTACCTTGAGCATATCGAGAGGAAGCTTTTTCTCTGCCTCTTCAGATTACTGAGCGCCTCATTTAACATCCTCGCTGCCTTCCAAAAGAAAAGTGACAATACTAGAGGTTCCACAACTTGCCTCTGAACCGGAGCTACTAAGGTTCTCTCTAACTAGCCACTCAAACTTTTGTGCTTTTAATTGCACATGGAAAGATGATGATGATGGTGATGATTTTGTACCATGTGTCCTGTACGCAGCGAGGTTGGGAAAACGTAGCGTCATTGTGTCTGCCATGTGCGCCATGGCCAGCAAACGTTGAACTTGTCATGCAAGTCATAGTCTCCACTATTATGAGCAGCTGGTGAATACCCATCACCATGCTGATTGCACAAGTACTTGCAAGTCAAGTAGAAACCGTTTTTACGGAGCCAGAATCCAAAGTGGAAACAAACCTTACCTCCGTTAACAAGTGTAAGACTTTACCATTTCAATCACTCTCGCTCACTAGCTTAAAATTATTACTTCCAGTAAGACATAAAGTATATTTTATTTCACTCTATTGATTGAAATTACAATTTAAATGGAGAAAACCCACTCCTGTGGCTTTGCTGGAAATGCTTCTTGAAACCACATGGTATTAAAGGAGATTTGGAGGAAGTGACTTGTTACTGAACTGCTTCCAGGCTGGTCCAAAATGTTTCCAATTATGTATCATGACAGTACACTCAAGTGAAAAATTCATGCCAAATTACAAAATATGGCCCGAATTTTTTTAAAGAAACCATTAAAAATGCCCTCTTTGTAGAATCTGATTACTAAACTACTGTATTTATA